GAAAATGAAAAACAAAAGTGAAAGCACTAAGACAAAAGAGAGTGCTATCTAGAGTGATCCCTCTCGTGATTTGATGCTAGAAAGAGTTTGGAACACCAAGGTTAAAAAATGACAAGAGTGAACATGAAATGAGAGTTGAGATTAGAAGATGAGATCAATTAGTGAGATGATAAAGTCAAGGCGGCATGCCTAAAGTGATCTCGATGAACAACTAAGGATGTATTTGATAACCTATTTAAGTAGCTTAAAAAATTAAGTTGTAATACTTAATATAAAAAATTTATTTGATAATCTAAATAATCTTATATTTAAAATTTACGTTCAGTCAAAATCTACTTAATTAAGTAAGTTAAAATTTCTAACTTAAAACGTTTTTATTAACACGTTTAATTGAAAGATTTTTAAAACTTTTTAAATATGACTATATAATTCTCATATATTCTTATAACTCTAACTATGCAAACATATATTTTTTTCTATTTCAAATCTCTTTTGGGTTCTTGCTTTCTCGCTATATAAAAAAAAAAGCAAAAAATAATAAAACACCCATATGTACATTTTAGACTAGATTCTCTCTTCCTTTTGAAATTTTTACACAAGACTATATATTTCTCTTTTCTTTTATGTATACCATAAAATGTCAAATCTCTCTCTTGAATTTGACAAGTACAAGTGAAAAAGAGAGAAAACAATAGATGTTTTTAAATGATGAAAATAGTCCCTCCCTCTCATGGATTCTTAGTGATTTCTTGATACCTCTCTCTATATATCTCTATAATTCTACTATACTTCTTTTGGAACACCAAAAGAAACAAAGATAACAAACCCACAATCCTCTTTCTTTCTCTAAATTCTAGCTTATGTAGAATTTTTTTAGAGATCATTAAATGAAGATGAGATATTGAACTTCTAGACAATAGGAAGTGAGAACATGGAAGAGAAAGAGTGAGAGAGGAAGTTGTAAGTATTGGGAGTGTTTGAAATGAAACAAAGAGTACATATGATAATTGATTTCTTCTCTTATACACTCATAAAGATCTTGCACCCCCTCTATCATAATAAACCATAGAGTATAGCTTGTCAAAGTTTTTAGATGTGCTTTTCCACCTCATCCTTCATGCCGACCAGCTTGAAATTTGTATGAGGAAAAGACTCAAGTTATTCTAATTATGCCAACAATAATGCCAAGTCTTTAGGAAATTCATTAACCTAAAATGAAGAAAAGAAAAACAATATTTAATGTGCAATGTGAATGATAGTTATTGCAACTAGTTATTCAAGTTCACTAAAAAAAAAAAAGATTTAGCAATGGTCTAGACCGTCGCTAATTCGACAAAAGGTTTTTTGATAGTCCAAAAGTCATTCGTAAAATGCCAATCGCTAAAATTTTATGATGGTTTTTAAACCATTGCTAATTTAGTGACAAAAAAGAAATGTCACAAAATTAGAAAAAACCGTCACGGAAAATAGGAGTAGAAGCAAGAGAATTTTACGATGATAAATAAAACACTAACACCATCATAATTTTATGATGGTTTTAATGAGGGTTTTGGACTGTCGCTAATTCTGTCACTAAAATATTATTTTTTTACCCTCATTTTAAATTAACCAATTGTTATTTAAAAGTCTACAAAATACCCAAAATATAGTATTTTAAAATTTCATAATTTTTATTATAAAATTTATTAAAATTTAATAAATATTATTCAATTATTAAATTCATAAAAAAGTAGAAACTTTGTTGTTATTATATGATAGCTAGGAGAGATTGGTAGGAACATCACTCGGAGGTTGGGTGAAATCGTTCGAAGGTTGAGTGGAGTCATCGTCGGTGTTAGGCACGGCGAATGAACTGCCACCTTGTTGAAAATGCTTCAGCAACATCTACCGCATCTATGTCATCATCATATGTTGTTATCGAGCGTACTCCTTTAACTCATTTGTTATAGCCAACAACGTTATGACGAGTACCTTGTAGTTCCCGGATCTCTTATGTATTTGCGGTAGTTTGATCCTCGCTTTCCTTTCATTGAGCCTCATCACCAACATGGACTCGCGAAGTTGCCGAAGTAGAGGCTGTATTGATGTTAGAGTAATAGTGAGATGTGTGTGACTTAAGTCCATATATCCTCTTCCTCCGATTATCCCTTCCATCGGTGGCCTTCCTAAAAATCTCATTAATATTGATATTGGTCGTTGAAGTCCACCCGGTCATGTCGGCTAGCAACCTCCTCCTTATTTATTAATCTTTCTACGATTTCCTACATAATTGTGAAAGACATGATATTAAATAGCTATGTGAAATAACGTTATAAATTAATATGTATGAAATAACGTTATCAAGTAATTAATAACTTACATCAATAACTCTTGATTGTTGATCGACGAAGACATATTGATCATCAATCTTTCTCCGATAAGTCCTTAAGAAAACCTCATGAGGATCATTCTAATATATATAGACACCATGTGTATTGTGTGCTCTCTATTTAATTGACTCCTCCGTATGTCTTGAAGGACTAGCTCCTACGCTACTAGTCTCACTCCTGTCGTTCCACACTCGCCAACTCGGCTCCCAACTAAATAAACTTAATTACTAAATATAATTTCAAAAATTATTAATTTTGTAATGACTAATTATTTTTTTAATTACTTAACTCTACTTTTTCAACAACTAAATAAACTTAATTTTAATTAGTAAAAATAATTACAAAAAAATAATTTTTTAATCACTACTTAATTTTGTAATTAATTAACTCCCTTACTCGGATCAAAATATATTTATAATCACAACTAAATAAACTTAATTACTAATTAATTTTTTAATTAGCAAATATAATTTACAAAAAAATTAATTTTTTTAATCAATACTTAATTTCGTAACTAATTAACTCCTTTACTTAATCAAAAACTAAATAAACTTAATTACTAATTAATTTTTAATTACTAAATAAAATTTCAAAATTAATTAATTTTTTAATTACTTAACTCCATTAGTTCATCAACAACTAAAGAAACTTAATTACTAATTGATTTTTTAATTACTAAGTATAATTTCAAAAATTACTTATTTTTTAATGACTAATTGTTTTTGTAATTACTAAAAATTTCAAATATTTCTACTAACTTGTTAACAATTTTGTAAAATAATTAACTTTTCAAAATACCTTCAATTAAACTAACTAAATTAATAAATAACATTTAACAATAAATTAACTAAATTAACAATTAACAATAACAATTAACAATTAAACTAATAACAATGACAATTAAATTAACAAAAAAAATTAATAACAATTAAATTTTATTAAAAATAAATTAGCAATTAAACAATTAAACTCTCACAATTAACAAAAATTAATAACAATTATTGTTTTAATAATTAAACTAACTAAATTAATAATTAATAATAAATTAACTAAATTAATAATAATTATAAAATAAATGAAAAATATAAAATTAATTTAAGTAAATAATTAAAAAAATAAAAAAATTAATTAAGGGGTTAGATGAGGTAGGACCTTTCACCAACACAAAGAGGAGAGTGGGTTGCACCGGTGGAGGGGCTTCGTCGGACTATTCGGTCAAAAAATGGCCGGTTAAGGAAGGGCGAGAAAGGAAGAAAGAAAGAGGAAAAGGAGGAGGAAAGGGAGAGAGATGGATGGGAGAAAGGGAAGGAGGGGAGAGAGGAGGAGATTAGAAGGAAAATAAAAACGAGAGGGGGAAGATTTGATGGAAATGGAAGGGAGATCGACACCTGGAGAAGAAGAAGAAGCAAAAGGGAGAGAAGAATTTTTTTTTTTTTTGTAAATTTTTGGGCAAATTGTTACATAGGGGTTAAAAATTTTATCGACAATCTAAAAACTATCGCTAAGTGTCTAAAAAAGTTAAAAGAATAGCCATTTCCCTCGAACAGTATGTTAATTCATAACAGCTTTTAGACCGTCACTAATTTACTAATTTTGTGAAAGAAACCCGTTCGAAAAAAAGGTCGGAGAAAATAATATTTTTTAAAATGGAATTAGTGATGATTTTTTTGGGAGAAAATCATTGCTAAATTTTATGATTTGTGATGATTTGTTTTACAAAAACCGTCGTAAAAAATAGCCGCGAAATTTTTTTTTAAAAAAAATTGGAATTAGCAACGGTTTTTTTTTTTTTTTAAATCATTGCACAAAAGCTGTTTCTAATTTTCATGATTTGAGATCATTTTTTTTACAAAAATCATAGCAAAAATGGTCTGTAGAAATTGTTTTTTAAAAAAATTTGGATTAGCAACGATTTTTTTGGAGAAAACCATTGCAAAAAATCATCGCTAATTTCCCTCACTAAAATGATTTAAATTATCGTAATTTTAGTAAATTAGCGATGATTTTTCCCAAAAAAAAATCACGAGAAAAATGTTGCCAATTTCCATGATTTTGGATGATTTTTGTTATAAAAACCGTCGTAAAAATGGCCGCAAAATGTTTTTTTTTAAAAAAATTAGAATTAGCGACGGTTTTCTTGGAAAAAACCATCACAAAAAGCTGTCTCTAATTTTCCTTGCTAAAGTGCTTCAAACTCGTCGTAATTTTAGTAAATTAGCAATAATTTTTTCCAAAAAGAAAAAAATCAATCCAAAAATCTTCGTTAATTTCCATGATTTACGATGGTTTTTTTTTACAAAAACCGTTGCAAAAATGGTTGTAGAAACTTTTTTTAAGAAAAATGGAATTAGAGATGGTTTTTTTTTTAAAAAGCCATCACTAATTTTTCTTACTAAAGTACTTCAAATCGTCGTTATTTTTGTGAATTAGCGACGATTTTGAGAGTGTGGCTAATTTCCCCTCGTAAATCCTTTGTTTTGTTGTAGTGGATGCTACTCTTAGAACTCATCCTTTTGTGAAGTTCAATATGTCTACATTTTCTTGGTAAAGATTTGCTATTTGCTTATTCAATTTCTTGGATCTCGGGAATAAACTTTAGTGTCCTACTTCACGGATGCTACCATGACATAGGCTAATGATCGGGATCCTTCAAAAGTTAAGGAAAAACTTCGTAGGTATATCCCGAAACATGTATCAAATGTACGAAGTTCCAAACTAATAGAAATGATAAACAAGTATGAGGTAATTTGTTTGGTTTTTGTTAGAACCCATGAATATTCTCTAAACTATGTAGGGTTCTTTCGTTCAATCAAACAACCAATTGCTTTGAGTTATTACTACATAGAAACAACTTTCTATTGGGATCGTAGGAGATTTACAATCTATATTCAAAGATGATAAAAAAGACATATGGGCATCAATAAGAGAACATCTCGAGCACAAGATTTAGGTTGCTTTATTAGAATTTTCAACTAGTGTTGCTAGTTTTAAGTTAGACAAATCTATTATTGACACAAGGGTTAAAATTTTTTAGGGTAAGGTTAACATTTGGAATTTAATGTCAGCTGAATAAGAAGGTGAAGATAGTGTGACACTAGACCATGATAGTTGATTTATTAGTTTCATATGTAAGCCTATTGATCAAGAAATGAGCTAAGACTAGCGTGACAAAGCTGTATATGTTTTCTCAATGTTTTTCAATCCATGTTGAACTCGTATATGCCTTTTCAAAAATGTTAGAGTTGCATCACCAAATGCTTTACTGAAATAGTAACATGAAATTATTCCATTGATTCAACTTAATAGAAGATTAGAATCATTCAAACCGATGTTTAGGGGCAAATCTAGATTTGCAAAAAAAAAAAAAAAATGAAAAAAAAGTTCTTTTTCATTTTCCCAATAAATTTAATTGTATTAATTTACAATAATGTGACTTTAAATGTTAAAAGTAACCCATAATTATCTTCAAAGAACAATTGTTACTGATAATTTTTTTGAACAATTTGATGACGATTATATGATGCATCAAAAACCAAATGTTACTACAAATTTGCCATTCAATCGGAGGAGGAGCATAAGTACAAAATTATCAAACATTTATGATTAATTTATGAGACCAAATTGAAAATGAATATATTAGTACTTAAAATTTTATTTATTTTATGCAAGATACGAAAATTAATGCTATCTTAGATCGTGTTTAATTTTTTATTAATAATCACTTTTATTAAATTTTTATTTATTTAAACACATAAACGAATATATCTATATATTTTTATTTATGTTATGTAACAATTACAAGGTTAAAATTTTCATGTATATAACCTTAATATGTTCAGCCATAGTAATTATCAAATAACCTTATTGTATTCAATAATTAATTTCAAATAAATACCAAACGACTTGTCGATAACATATTCGGTACTTAATTATTTAGCATTTAAAATTCAGTACTTAATTTTCATTTTTATCAAACACCACCTAAGTGATCTTAGGTCTTTATAACCTCAAACACCTTTTAAGCCTTTTATATCCTTTTATTCATAAGCCAAAGCCTTAACCTTTATTATATGCATGTGAAAACCCTTGCCAATCAAAGATGGCTTATTTGTGTTGATGAGTTCTAGCTTCAAACGAGAAAAAAACTTGACTTGTTTTTGCATTACAAATCATCATTCATGACACTAAATCATAAATTTTCACCAAATAACTAAGAGGCAAGAAAAAATAAACCAAGTTTTTCTAAGCGGGACCACCCATTTAAGCTAAACTTTCTTTAAAAACTCTTTTAGTTCTTGAAATTTATCTAAACACCCCATGCTCTTGGACTAAAATTTTGTCAATTATTTATCGGAAGAGATGGATCATTTCCAAAACTTTTATTATCCAAACACATTTTACTCATCTTAGCTTAAAAACGGATCACCATAAGAATTGCATCTCGGCATTGCACGATGCATTTTGGCTTTTAAACAAATAAGTCAAATATTTTTTTGAATAAGATTACTTTTTTATGTACATCTCTATAATTTATCTTGAATAATTTAACTAGCCATCGTGAAAAATTTTCAAATAGATAGTGTGGTCAATGAAAGTCACAATAAGTGAAAATGATTTCCTAAAAATTAAAGAAAAAATCTCTCAAAGACAAGTTCACAAAATCAAGTGCAAACATCGAATGAAGATGAACAACATGAGCAATAAAAATGAAAGGTAGATGAAAAATGAATGATCATTATCAATGCTTCAAAAACATGTTATGTTTTGATTAGTCATAAATCTATGTCGGCATTAGAAGACCAAACATTTCAACTTCTTTCCTATCTAGAACAACAAAAAGATAATTTGAATTATGGTCAAATATTCACTAGCATGATCATTTGAATTTGTCGCTTCTATTCATAACTTGCCTAATGTGATCTAATTCATGAACTTTCAACTCTCAAATAACCATTATTTTCACATGTATGATTAGTCCCCAAAAAACAAAACCCTTTCCTTGGTCTCAAGCATGATCCTATAATTGATGTCATTCATAAAATGTGATAATGCATTGAATTGACATGTGATAACTTAATAAAGATCTTACTTGGACTTAGTGTATAAGAGGTCAACCTCTATGAAATATATTATAATTTATACTTTGTTTTCAACTTTAGATTTGATATATTTTAATAAACCGAGTAATAAAGCGATAAATATCAAACTTGAAAGATTTTATTCTATTTGAGTTGCAACATAACTAGACAACTCGATTAGTAAAGAAGCTAAAACCCCATGGTCTTTCATTATCGCTTAAAGGGACTTAGCTATTTAGCTACTATGAAACATCATTTTGCAAAAATTTGACTATCCTTTTTTTTTTTTTTTTCATTTCAGTTGTGGTTTATGTGTTTGTGATTGGATATGATTGTAAATGAGTAGACTAGTTTTGCTAAGTGAAACACGTTTGTAAGGTTCTTAAAATATTGTTTTCAATTTGGTCCTTAAATGATAATTACAATTCTATTACAGCCTTTTGATTTAAAAATGTTTCTTTTTTCATCCATTAAGTTGGAGGTTTTTTTCTTAAGCTTAATATATAATTTTATTTTGTTCCTTCAAATTTAAAATTGTTTTTGTCCCTTAAGTTTTAGAGAGGTTTTCCGAGTCCGAGGTATGAGATTATTGTGAAGCATAGAGAGCCAAACACAACTATTGTGACAATAAAATATTGCACATTAGTTTTGACAAAAAATTTCTTTTTATTATAATAAGAAAAAACTCGAACAAAATATTCTTTTACTAAATTATAGTAAGTCTTTACTTTCAACGACAATAGGCATGACTATTGAAATATTAAGATTAGGATTCTTTCATGAAAAAATATTTTATCTTATTGTATTTGGAAAGAGTATATAATAAAAAAGAAAATAACTTCTTTGTTTTTTTTTTTTTTTTTTGGCAAGAGTATCAAAATAAGCATAAGAAATTAAAAGCTCACTACAAAAATTTCAAGAAGTAGCGTTAGATTACTTCATCCCTATTTCCTAGAAATCTATCAATAAATGGCTTTAGCGATGGATTAGACACAAAATCCAATCCATCGCTAAAGTGATGGTCGCTATTTTTTACGAACGAATTTTTTTTCCATCGGTATTTAGTGATGGATTTTCGGTCACTAAATGGTTCTAAATTAGTAATTTTTGATATCTTGTATCTATCGCTAACCATTGCTAGTTCCACTTATTTTTGTTGCTAAATAGTGACGGATTGTGCAATCACTAGTTTTTAGTCGCTAATATCCTTGCAATTTCATTGCCATTATCATCGCTATTTAGCAATTAAGTATCATCCATCAATAATTACTTGTCTCTATTCCATTGCTATTTTTTAAGTTTTTAATGAATTGTTATTTATTGGTAATTTAAATAAACTCTTGAATTTTCTTCAACTTAACACCGTCGAAGAAGAATTTCTCATGAAAGACTCCTTTGAATTGTACCCATATAAAGTTAGGCACATCTAAAGAAGTCTTTGACAATTCCTACTATGTTTGTGCCTTACCAACTAGCATGAATATGGAATAATACACCCCGTCCTCATCTCCTATTACCATATGTTTGAAAATCATCTCCGAAGAGTCTATCCATTCCTTACCAACCATAAGGCCGGACATGCCCACAAATGAATTTGGTTTAAACTTTCCGAATCACTCAACCATGTCAACCCTCTAGGGTGGCCTTGCTGGTTCTAGTGGTTGTTGCAATGCCATTATGACTTTTATCTCGCTCATCATGTCTCTATTATTATTGCTACATCATCACTTATTGCTATATCATCACTTATTATTGTCACAACAATCCAAGTGTCTTCTCAATCAAAATCTTATTATTTGTAAACCCATCATTTTTTCTCTCGGTTTGTAGCTCTTGTGTTTGTTTTTGCACCATAATAGTTTCCCTTCCCCCTTCTTTGAGTTATCACATCCTTATTCCCACACATGCACATGAATGCCATAATTCACACATCAATATTAAACATATCCAACAAACATCAATCACGTCATATATATCATGAAATAAACACAACATATAATAATAAATCACATTTTTCAAACATTAGATAAAAAGTTCACATTCTATAATTTAAATACTTACTTGTTGATGATATTGTTAGAGCTCGAGTTTATATGTTCTATTTAGGCCTACTAGTCAAATTATTCTAATACCACTTTGTAACGCCCATGACCAAACAAGAAGCTGAGTGTGCTACTACAATGTCTCACATTCAAGAGCCTAAGGCAATGTAATGTGTCCTCTACTTTGGATCTCTATGACAATGTATAGTGAAATTCCTTATTCGGTTTAAAGTTCAAGGCTTCCTAAAAATTTAGTATTTTTAGCTAACAAATTTTTACCAACCATAGTTACACAATTCATAACCTAAACCAATTCATTTCCATTTTGAGATTAAAACTAACAAGCCTAAAACCTTCACATTCAATCTAACATAATACTATTTCCATAGTTACATCAATCCATTCTTATTTTAACTAATTCATCAACAAAACAAGTCATTCACATAATCTTTCATACTTTTTAAATTCAGTAGTATATATGTTAACATATCTAAATGACCTAAAACTTATCATTTACAACTCAAAATGGTTGAAATCTAGGAAATTACCAAAAGTGGTCAAAACCTAGCAATGTTTTAGCCTTTAAAATTTAAACTTAGACTCGTAGTATATGATCCGGCAAACTTTGTAGCTCACGACTAGCATCCTCAAAGCATCTAATTGATCCTTAAGCATTGGTTTGCTAACCTACACCATAAGATAAAATAGTTATATAAAGCTTAGTAAATATAACCATGCATTAAATGCAATTAAAACCATTATTTTATATGCTTGAAATTCTTTTCTGTCTTTCGAGTACACGTTACCGCATGTATATAAATTTAGTTCTCTTTAGCCATACAGGCTCATGAAAGTCATAAAAGCTCTAAACATATTTGATTCAATGAACCACATAAAAGGATTGATCATTCCCCATTGTTGTTAGTGTAGGTGCCCAAGATCCAACCTTGTTTGGATGAGTTTGACTTATTATATTATTGCATTATTTTTATTATTTATAATAAAAGAAGTTTTTTTATTAATGCTTTTTATTTACATTTATTTGTTGAACATAATTAGATAGAATTTCATATGATATGCATTTGAATTAGTGATTAATCAAAAGATGTGAGACAAACACTAATTCACATAAATGATATCATTAAATGTCTTAAGTCATAACATGGTCAAGAATGGATATTAATTATATGTGGATAGACTTGTGAGTGTTATGCTTATGCTATATGATAGAAGTAGGAGATTTCACACATATAGGCATGATGATGCCAAAGCAAGGGCTTAGGTGATTAATGTTAAAGAATATATCACTAGACTTGACTCACCATGAGAACCCATTTGGTATAATCTATGAGAATCTCATATGATTTGAGTACAAATGGTCCTTAGACTTAAAGTCATCATGATTATCTTATTGGAGGATTTATATACTTTGACACTCATTTCGATGGACCTAGTAAAGGTTTACACATGGCCAATTTATTAGGTACACTAGGAATCTAATGGAGGTAGGTGAATGACTAAGATAAGGCATATCATTCCTTGGATGCTAAAAGAGTTATCACATGCACTTCAATAAATGTGTACTCAAGAAATCTATAGCCACGAGTAAGAGTACACTAATAAATTGTAGTTGGTTTACTCTAAGAGCTAAGATATTTGAAAATGAAAAAAAAACTTGTGTGATCATTATCGAATAAGAATAATAACCAAGTTTGAGATCACACAATGACAAGTTGACATGAGGACTGAATTCTATGGTAACCATGCTCATGAAAGGTAATTACACGAGTAATTGATCCTCCTAGAGAATTAGGTAGTCATAATGCTTTGCTAAAGGCTAATCATGACTTATTTATCAAGAGATAAAAGAAGTGAATTTTATTTATGATCCATTTTCAACTTATCTACGAGCCTATTGAGTCACAAACATAAGTTTAATCATTCACATGATTAAAGAGAAGCAAAGATATTGGAAAAAGTTTTTAATTTTGAAAGTTTCATATTTTGGAAAAGGTTATCAAAAATGGAAAGTTTCTAAAAATAAAAATTTTCCTAAAATGAAAGTTTTATAAAATGGAAAATTTTCTATTTCAAAAATTAGTTTCCTAACTTGGAAGTTAGTTCCAAATTTGGAATGAATAACCTAAAATGGAAACTAGTTTCGTAATTTGGGCTTAAGGATAATTTAGAAAATTGTTTTCTAATGTGGGCCTCTTAAAATTATGTAGCTTAATTTATTTGGATAGTCTAAATTAACTAATTAGGCTAAACTAGTTTTGAGCCAATAGGTTTAATTAAAAGCTCGAAAGATATTTTTATGGGAGAGTAAACATGAACCTTATTGGATAAGGATGAATGTTTTAAAGATAAAGATCAAAAGCCCACATGCAAAATAACTCCTAATCCTTAGAGGATTAGGAAGCCATAACTCGGAGTTCTTTAGGGACTAATTGTTGCCCCTCATTGTCCTTTGAGGACAAGGAACCCTCTCCCCTACATATATGGGAGAGAGGTGCGGTAAACACAAGTAATTTTAGAGAGAGAAAATTTGACACAAAGGACAAAGAAAAAAGGATACCCAACATTAAGTGATAAAAAGGGAAAAATAGTTTTCCCCTAAAAACTCTAGCACACGCCACCTCCTCTCTCTCTTTATGTTGTCGCAAGATTACCCTAATTAGATTTCTATAGGAAATAGTAAACAAGTCGGAAAAGGTTGAGCTAACACTCAACCAATTTTGAGTGTTTTTTTTTATGGGTGTTTGGACTGCATGAATTATCAATAGAGGTTGGACACTTTGATTACACTTTTCTACAAAGGTTTATCAAACTTAAAGAGGTTGAATTTGAAAGCTTTCATGTCTAGTCTATTTAGTATGATGAATGTCGGTGGAGTCAATATAAAGCCCTTAGGTTTACAAGCCTTTATTCGGTCTACATATTTCTATGAATTCCAAAATACAAGGAGGCATGATATTGATGGATGTTATGAGTTCCACCACCTGGACTAGACTATGCTAATATTAGGGACTTTATGGTTTAAGAATAAAGAAGTAAATGCCGAGATGAAAGTGTTATTCTTGGAAAATTATGCTGAAAAACCTCACTATTTAGGTATGAAGTGATTGGTTTAGGTCCCATGAATCTAGTTTTAAAAATGTTTATGCTTATGAAAGCCAACTACTAAGCTACCCAAGTACAAGTATGGATCTCTCACTTATGCCAACAAGTCGTGTGCTATCATAAAAATCTCTTTTAATGGGATGGTAGACATTAAAGGAGTAACATGCATGGAAAGGTTCTTCACCCCTTGAAGAGCTAAAAAAGAGAAAGAGAAGAGTGTTAAACCTATCCCTTCGAATGAAGAAAAAGCTATAAAAAAATAGGGAGTCGAGCTATGTATTATGGATTTTAAGATGAACAAGCCATTAATGATCATAAGGCTATGGAATTTTTTATTTTTATGAAGCATAGTGAGTATAGTGTAGTGGATTAATTGAATAAGACTCCTGTATGTATACCTCTCCCGTCACTAATCTTAAGGTCTAAACATCATCGAAGAGTAGTTCAAAATGTTCT